CTCCTATATAATAGTTAGACATCAACTCTCCCTAACACTTTGTGTTTGTTTCTTATATTAAATGACAATTGGCTTGTTTTAGAGCTGCAAACATGTGCTACAGTCTGTGGCTCACGTTTGGTATTAGCATATATAATTTATGAGCAATTTAACAGCTTTTCTTTTTGATCAAGTTTGGACAGCTGTGGCAATTAGCCTTAACTGTCTGCACATTCCATACCACATATCACAGGCCACATATCATAGGCCCTTGGCTGCTGTTGTCAGTTGAGCCCACTTGGCAGGGTTTTCATTTAATTAAGGCAGGCAGTGCGAGACGCACACACAGAGAGTGAGAGAGAGAGATAGCGAGAGAGAGAGAGAGAGAGAGAGAGAGAGCGAGAGATGTGGCATGAATGAAAGCCCCTAATTAAAATAAACTTTCAACGCAACATTAAGCCAAACGTCAAGGGGCTGTGACAAAAATTGCCATTCAGTATTATGTGTGCCTGTATAGGATGTGGCTGTCTGCCAAAAGTTACTGCACCAGTTATGCGTGCACAGATGGGCAGACTTTCTGCTCAACTGTGAAGGCAGAGCCAAATATTATGTTAACATTTTTAAAATCTCCCATTTGCAAAGCATTTGAATGGAACAGCTTAATTGACTTTTGCTAACTATTATTCCTTAATTTTCGATTCTCCCAGGCAATCTGCTTGTTATATTGGTCGTCACGCTGTCCCGTCGTCTGCGGTCCATAACCAACTTCTTCTTGGCCAACTTGGCCTTTGCCGACTTCTGCGTGGGTCTCTTCTGTGTTATGCAAAATCTCTCCATCTATCTTATAGACAGGTAAGTGGAAAAAAATAAATATACTAAAATCATAAAATAAATGTATAAAAATAATGCTAATAATTATATACAAAAATACATTTAATTAATAGAATAAAATTAAATAATTAAAATAATATAAATTGAAAATACAATAATTTTTTTATGATATATATAGACTGTTTGTTATATTATTAACCAGATTCATTTTACTTACCTGAGCTTTGTAATGTTATATAGTACTTTATATATTTATATTTTGTTTTTTTATTTTGTATCAAAAGTCTCGCTTTATATTATTCTTATTTATTTTTAGCTTTTAGGTATTTTCTATTATCGTCCATAACAATGAATAATTTTTTATGAATTTAAATAACAACTCTAACAAATCAAAGGCATTTCTCAGCGCTTCGTTTCGGACGTATGGGTATACGGCTTTCGCATGCTCGAGGACCGCATACCGAAAGCTTTCACTTTTAATGGATATTTAAGTAGCTCAACAAATTTGATGCCTTTCAGCTGCAGCCGAGAATGCCAAGAAGTTGCCAATAATTTTTAT